TGCTTTGTGGTGTTTTGTTCCTCATCTCTGTTTTACTGCAGTGTAACTGTGCGGCTTTTGGTTACACGCTTTAACAACCAAATCTGAAAATATATAACCTCTCTTTCATTTTGACCATGCCTCACCCCGGTGACTTCTACACCAGGTGAGTTGCACAGGAAATGAAAACTGCTGTCACTGGTTGCTGCTGAAGAGCTTTAATCATGATGGTTTTGGTGTAAACCCTGAGCAAGGCTGTTGTTACAAAGTACTGTCCCACAGTCTGTGAGTCTTAGGACGTGCTGCAGCTTCAGTGGATCAGTTCTCAAAACCTTCGAGTAAGCAGTGAGTGGAAAATACAAACGCATAGTTATATTTAACAATGGCGGGAAAAAGAATATTTTTAAGGAGAAAAAGACAGTGGCTTTACTTCAAATGGAATTTAAAATCTCATTGTAGCTGATAGCTGTATGTTTTATCTTGTGGCCCTTTGAGTAGACATTTTTTATGGACCAGGAAAATGCCTCTGAGAAGAAGATCTCTGGGATGTTGTTGTTTTCTCTGCTGTATTGTAAGGCAGGAGCACACAAGTCAGCATTTTTCTTCTTAAGAAGCTTACAATAATTTATTTTGACAGCATTTTCAACCCATATAGTAGCTTAGGACTATCTGTTTGTGCTACCTTCCTATTTTAGACAAGCGATGCTTTGCGTGAGACTGTTAATTTGGCAAAGGGCATGGGTTCACATTTGGTTTTCATAGACCGATAGATTTAAAAGCCAGAAGAGACCATTGTGATCATCTAGCCTGACCTCCCACTTCAATCAGGGCACAAGCCTCGTGCAATCGTTACTGCAACAAGATCATGACTTCAGCGTGAGCTAGACAGCAGCTTAAAGAAGGCATCCAGTCCTGTGTTGCCTTCCTCTAATTTTTAGCATTAATTTTTCCAACTTCAGACCCTAGTCCCTGGATCATATCATTTTATAGGCATGCAGAGTCAAAATGAAACATCATCCTCAACTGTCCTTTTCAATTATATGTCTGTGATTCCATCTACTTGGAGTTATCCCAAGATTATAGGAATATTTATGTTGTATAGTTGTCAGACCATGCTGAATGGAAAGTCAGCATTCTTTTCACTTTATACTGGATATTGTAAAAACAGTTGCAAAGCACACATGGAATGTCAAGTTCTTGGGCTAGGTCTGCATTGGTAAGTCAGGAAGCATTCAGCCTGGCTTTTGGTTTATGTGAGCAGTTTGCATTCACTGAGTTGACATGCATGAAGCCCGTTCACAGAGCAAATGCATGCCAACTATTGTCCTTCTTTTAAAAACCAACCCCTGCGTTTCTAAGATCAGTTTTTAATAGACAGGTAATGACAAAAATTGGCAAGTGACAAAAAAGATAAGGAAAGGCAGGTGGAAGTGTTTAAGAAATTATGATTTATCTAGAACACTTCCAAAAATACAGTTGCAATTTTGTTCACCTAAGAGAACAGCAGTAGAAGATTAGGTGGGAGGAAGTAAGATATTTTGAATAAGCTTATTCTGCCACTCATTTTCACACCTACCCATCATACTGCAGGAGCATACTTTCTCCAGACTTAAAACCTGGCTACAATTCACTATCGCAGGAATTTTGGTCTACAGCACTGGATCAATTTTTCAAGATAGCCAGTGCTTCAAATTTGGCATTGAAGTTTTACACAACCAGCAAAGTTTCAGATGTGGATGTGAAATGAGTTTGTGATACTTTGGAAAGTCTGAGCAAGCTAAAGTACTTCTGAAATTTAAAGTCTTTCAGGCCCTTTCTGGCTACCCCTGTACAGAGTAAAGAAAGAATGCGAGGCTTGAAGTCCGTTTCTGGTACGTACTGTCATGTGCTAACCAAAGCCGTGCTACGGTGCGTACAGCAATGGAATAGGGGAAGGAACTAGAGGAAGATACTGCCAAGACAAAATCCAGATAAACATACAGCAAGAATTGATCGAGTTTTATGACCTTTAAAACTTTCAAATCAGGCCAGTTTTAAGAGCTGCCATTCAGTATTTGCCCTGGTGAAGCTTTAAAGATTGACATTAATTTCAGAAAGCAGCTGCCAGGTTCTTGCTATTTATTAAGGCATTAATATAAACTGATGTTCTTCAACAGAAATTTATCAAAATTCTTATACTTCTTGACTTAAAAAGACCCCAATCTCTTGCATATCAAACTGCAAGGAAACAAAATTCCAGGTTTTCCAGCCGGATAATGACACAGTTCAAGGAGCTATGGCACAGGAACGCCTTAACTCTAATTTTTGTGAGGCAGCTCACTTGATTAGTAGTTATCCTCCATTTTCACAACTGGGAAATGCAGAGGACATCAAGAGACCTATGTGAAACCATAATAATATATATAGGTTTATGTTTATATTTACTTGATAGCGAGCTTTTTCTAAAATTTTATTCTTTATCCAGGATTTGAAAATACCCTGGATATAATAATCTGGATATAATTTATAGGTAAATAAATTTCTGTTTCAAAGAAAAATACTTACTCTTCATGTATTAATGGCCTCAACTGAAGACACTTTCAGGTTATTTAAAATCACTGCGGTGTTCCATAACAGCTTTAAGAACATTTTTTCTTCATAGTATGTGTAGGTCCTGACTGTTAGCATTTATCATGTCCAGTAGTACATTTGAAATTAGGCAATCTCAATCCACAATATACATTTTTCATTTTAAATCTTTTGGTATAAAATATTAGAACATGCACAAATTAATATAAGGTCAATAAGGAGGCACATAAATATAATTTCAAGAGTATTTACACATTTGGTCCGCCTTAACAAACTGTTTTTTAAAGACAAAGGTTATCTGATACTGTAACTATATATGGTATTTTGACTTTGCGTGTGAGTCTCAGCTCTACAAAGGCACATCTAACAGCACAGCAAACATGCCTTTGCAATTAAATGATTGTTCACAGTAGAGCTTAGGGAAATAAAAGATATGGCTCAAACCGTTCAGTAAAGAATGCCCGTTCTTGTTACTCTTTGTTTTAATGGGCTATAAAATAAATGCAGTGTAGAAGGTATTTTTACAGCCAGAGCTTGTGATACACGATACGCATGGCTGTGCTGGGAAGAAAATGCCAAAATTACGTACTTTCAAACACCCATCACGCTTCTCGGAAGGGTTATACGTGTAAAGCCATCAAAACCCTGGGCTGTCTTTAAGGGAACAGGACTGACTGCTACTCCGGCGTTCACGGCATCAGCCCGGGTAAATGCCAACGTACGTACGGTTGAACAATTAAATACCACCAGCGTCACGCGTTCGTAGCCGTATGCAACAAGGAGTAAGGAGACGGTGCGGCTGCCGAAAGGGAGGGCAAGGAACAAAGTGTTTTAAACCAGCGTGAAAGAGGCAGGGAGTAACAGCACCGGGAATCACATACGCACACGAAACGCGTGCGGGAGGTGGTGAGGGCGGGGGGAGTGGGTGAGGGAAGTCAGGTGAGGTAATGGTAGCTGAAGGGACTTGAGAGACTGGACAGATACATCAGGGGGAAAAGTAGTAGTGTGAAGAAAAGAATGCTGTCAATAAAAGACGAGGGTGGAATTAATGAGACCTCTGCAGAGACAGTGCAGCCCTTGTTGGGAGAGAAGCACGGGGCCCAGTTCTGGTCCTCTTGTCTGGTACTTCCTAGGTACTGGGGACCGCTCGGAGGACGAAGTACAATTAAAAGGCAGGGACTGTCAGCCTGGCAGGAATACCAAGCAAGAGACTAGGCTCAGGCACTTAAATAGGTGAATAGCTATGAGGAACAACTTGTCATGCCAGCAGTCCCCAGGATTTTCAAAATTAAATATAAGCCCCTGAAGTTACTGAAATTAATGAGTGTTTACAATCAGGGCTCCTTTTAATGGCTTGCTTCTTTTTTTCCTTCTTCTTTGTGTACTCAAGTTATATTTACGGGGTTTTGTTAGCTCTGTGGAAACTTTGCATTTTATGCAAAAAAAAAAAAAGACTTTTTCATGCCCATGTGCTTCCAGGAGATGGAATTTCACGTAAAACAGCAGCTATCATGGAATGCACAGTCCAAAGCGAGGAGCTGGTAGCTGCAAGTTCCACGGTGCACCGCAGGGTCCTGGTCCCAGGGCAGTCAGACCGGGGAGCGAGTGGGTCACAGCCATCGCAGACCTCCTTGGATGTCCTTCCTGTGGGAGAAGGGAGGCTGAAACGTTTGTTTCATAGATCTCAGTCCACCTCACATGCAGTTGCACACCGGCCAGGATGCGGCCTCCAATCTGGAAGCTGGAAAGCACGCCGAGCTCCCACTGTTGCAGATAGTTATTGCAGCCATAACCAGTTGATAAACACAGGCACAGGCCGTGAGTTCTCTCTTAAGAACAATTAGTGAGGGCACGGTCTGTGAGTAGATATTTCATTCCTATGTGTACAAAGGATGTTTTTCTTTAGAATTATTTGTTCAAAGTATAATTCTTCTGAACTAGGGCATTAAATCAATTAGATCAACCCCCTCAGCACTGCGGATCCCAAGAAGAAAGTGCTGACCCGTCGACTGGGTCTATACAAGTACATGCCCAGAGAGACCTCAGTTAGCAGCAGGCTTTTAAATTCAGATGTTAGACTGAGAGCAGGAAATAAGGAATCAAAAAGTGTTCTCAGCCAAAATAAACCACTTTTGGTGAAATGTTTTTAGCCTCCCTCCTGTTCTCCTTACTCCTCCCCACCCCCCGACTAAAACTAATTGCTTAATCTGGTTTTTAGTAGGTCCTTATAAATCTGTTTTCTGGAACTCGCTCTTATCAAGAACGTTTCTGCTTTTTTGTCTTGCAATACTTGATGCATAAACAAACCATCTAATGAGCACACCAAAATGAAAGTCTTATGTTCATAACCTGTCTAATCACAAAATTCAGATCCTGAAAATATATCCATTTTTCAACTGTTCACTTAAACACTAAATTCATCAAAATGCTAATATGTTCTTTCTTTCTGACAGCAAAATTTGGAGAGTAACCTCACCAACCTTATTAAGAGGAATACTGAACTGGAGACACTTTTGGCGAAACTCATTCAGACCTGTCAACATGTAGAAGTGAGTACTGTCCTTCATTTGAAATACTTGTAAACTTAATTACATTCACTTCATTCAGGAACAAAAGCTTAAACAAAACAAAACAAAAAAAAAACAAAAAGCAAGTGCAGAACTAAATTAAAATTGTGGTAAACTGATTTGGAGCTTTTTAACTGATAAATGGTATTCTGAATACAGATGACCTCCTTTGCATTACTTTCATCCCCTTTTAAGTTATGATATGTTTGCATGGCCCCTACCACTGCTATACTTGAGCACATCACTCACTATATGTAACATATTTATGTCTTTGCATCCTTTGTGAGGTAGAATAATATTTACAGGTGGAAAACTAAGGCAAAGAAATAGTAACGCCCAGATCCACAATAATAATTAGGTTTCTATTGGCTGCCAATTATTTTTTTTCATCAGAATTAAGTATCTAAATACATACGTGAACTCAAAAGTCATACATGAAATATATTTCTCTTCAGAAGAAGAAAGATGCTTACAGGCGTTTGAGTTGCCTCAGTTGCATATTACTCTTTGAGTATCACAGAAAATTTTGAGCAGGGAGGGACCTGAATCCATATTTCCCCAAAATCTGAGGGATTTTTTAGATGGCCTCATGAGGGCTTCTGCTCTACATGCAAATTAAAAAAATCAGACCAATTCAGCCATGGGAGCTAAGACAGGAAGAGACCAGAGTCCAAAGTGGACTCTTTTTTAGCAAAACTTTTCTTTTTACTTTTTGCCACTCTCTGAGACTTTTTCAGTTCCTTATAGTACATTCAGGTCAACAAAGAAAAAACGACTATGAACAAAAAGCTTTCATATCATAAAAGACTTGCAAAAGACAACATGAGTTGATGCTCTCTGACAGTAAATATTACACAAATGTCCCCATGGCATCAAAACTTTATCAGCAGTGCTTTCCTTGGTGTCAGTCTCAGCCATGAGTCCCAGCTGACACATCAGATGATAGAAAACGTTTTCACCCCTCCTCCAGGTACATTGCGGCTGTGAAACACTCGGAGACTAGGAAAGGCTCAGCATCGTGAGGTGCACATGCTTGTTGGCAGATACACTGGATTGATTGAGAGACACCAAGTTCATCAGTTGCAGTGTTATCAGTGTTCCTAAGTTAGAAACTCAGTTTGAGACGACATGGGGAAGTTAATGGGGGAGGAATCGGGGGAGCTGGCACAACATAAATCCTGCTGATTTAGAGCGCAACGAGCTTCAGTCCTCAATCACAGAGAACAGGTATTTTCAGTTGAACAGCTGATTACTAGTCCGATTAGCAGCTAAAATTTATTTTCCCTGTGAAAAATGGTTGGGGTTTGGTTTGCATTAAAGTGCTGTCTATTGACGGGCTTCTGCATAGGAGCCTTTCCCTTCTGACTGCATTGCGATCCCCGCAGCAGCCTCGTTTATTCAGCGGAGGGCACGCTGCATGTTCCTAGCAGGCAGGCAGCATTACATAATAACAGTGTGCGGAAAAGGTATTCCACTTTGAGTGCGGTCCTGTACACGTGAAAGGAAGCCAGGTTTCTTCCCCTTTGTTAGCCGGGGAATAGCCCTGGGGAATTTGAGTGAGGAAGGTGGCCTTATCCCAGAGCTTCTGAAACACGGATATGATTTCGGAGGAAGTTAGCTGTGACATACGCTGCCGTAACGCAGCCGTCTGCTGGCTCTGCAGAAAGGCACTCTCTTTTTAGAGAAGCCTCTTTTTCTTCCATATAAAGTCCCATGGAAGTTCTCCATAGGGCTTCTTGTTTTCTGTCTTTTTCAGACTAAAGTTCAGCCAACCTAATTAAGCCCAAGAGCAACTTTCGTTTGTGAATAGATTCAAAGTGACATCTTGAAAATTCGGCATCTGCCTAAGTGCCTTGTTGACTGTGGCGATGGCACACGCTGCAGGAAAAAGGAAAGAAAGAAAAAAAACCCGAACAAAACAAAAGCGAAACCAAAAAAACCACCCCGAAACAAAACATAAAACCCCCAGACTGTTCTTCCAAAGGGATCACCTCATGCGTTTTTCCGTCGGCTCCACCTCTGTGGAGCCTCGCTGACTGCACGGGGCTCAGCAAAACCAGGAAGGCCCGTCCACACACCAGGCTTGAGGTGAGCGGTTCGCGCCCGTTACGTCGGCAGCAGTAACGTCAGGCAGAACGACCGCAGGAGGCCATGAGAGACGGACCCAAGGCACGTTTTCTTCCTCTCTATGTAAAACTCGGAGCAAAACCCTTGAAGCAGATGGGCCCAGGACAGCATAAGGCCTCTTCTTCATCAGTGGCCTATGTCCAACATGGGCTAGATCTTGAAAATTTAAAATCATCCCTCCATCTCCTTGGATTGCTGATGATGCAAATGAAAAATTCTGCGCTCTGTTACTGATTCTAAGGTTTAATATTACAAAAAATCCGACTTGTTCAACTGGTAACAGATGCGCTGCTGTCCCTGGAGTCCTGTTTTAGAAAATTTCTCTGTAGACATAAAGCAATAGCAGCAAAGTTGTTAATGAATTCCTACCACGTTTTATTCAACAAATTAGTCTAATTAGCATTTAAATTAGCTAAATATTAAGAAATGAGCTTCAAACAAAACCCTGGACCTAGGCCACACTGGAAATCGGGCAAGTGGGGATGTGGAAGTAAACTTTAAAGCTATCTCTGTTTCTCAGAAATCTGTGACAACTTCAGATATGATGGGAATATCTCCAACAATAGAGCAGCTGAGGCTTAGACAGGTTTTTGAAAAGTCGGTATGCTCTCTTTGTGCTTCTTCACAACAGAAATTCACCCAAGCCAGAAACCCGAAGGAAGCAAACAGTATATTGGTTGTAACATTAATGTTACAAATTCAAAATTACAAAATATTGAGAAAAGAAAAGCTGAAGTTTCCAATGACTGTATTACTGTTGCCATATGAACTCACTCAAAGGTTAAAACAGGTAGTCAATTTTATAGGAAATGTTCTCTTTCTCATTTTTTGGTACAATATATTACAGATGATGATGTATAATATATTGTATACAATTTGTAAGCACATAAAAATATAGGTAGTGCACCGTGAAAACTGCTGTTACATACCTAGATTTTCCTTACCTAATTTTAAATCACTTTAATAATGTTATTTTAATGTTGATTTAAATTTTGGGGTGTTTAAAAACAGTTGGAAAGAAAGGAAAGAAAAGAAACTTTGGGTTTCACACATAATTTGAATTTTGAAAGATAAGGAAGGAAAGGAAATTATTATTCCTTTTGTTAAAGTAACCAAGGTTTTATTGAGGTGTATATAAACTTTAAAAAAAGTAGGCTGAAACCAGGACAGCTAATTAACATTTATTCGTAGAAATTAACATTTTTAAAGCCCTTGTCCTGTTGGAAATCAAAAAACTCAGTATTACATGAAAAACGAAAAATGAATGTCTTTTTTTTGGCTTTTGATATGGATCAGAAGCTGATGTTTCCAAAAATGAACAACAAACAGGTTCTGTGTCTTTCGAATAAATGAACCCTCAGCAGCCAAACCAAGCGCTGTCACAGAGCCACTGGTTCTCCAACCAAGCGAGCGGTTCGTGGCTTCCCAGCACCCAGCTTCGCTGCAGATGAATCGTCTCCCCGCACATCCTTCCCATCAGGCGACGGTGACTTCATCGACAGCAAAGGGCAAATCCCAGTCTCTCTGTGTTTTAACGCTAATGTTTATTCCCTTCTGAAAGAGAGTTGTTTTCACTTCTCGCTCGCATGAGCAGGCCAGGGCTGGTCGGGGATGTTCGCTCTCGGGAAGCTGGACGCCTTCCAGCCACCGGGGAGGGGGGATCTGGGGCTGCCTTTCATCACAGCAACGGAGGCATAAATCTTGCCTATTTTTAGACGGGATTTATCAATTTGTGTCACGATTTATCCTGATGGGGAATCTGATCTTGGGAGACTCGAGAAGTCCACTTCCAGCCTTGCATTCCCCTGGGTGGTTCTGTGCATATGAGCAGGAAAACTTTTGTGAATAAATCAAGCCAAACTTGTATTCTTTGCTGCTTTAAGTACAGCAGAGATATTATTAAGCATGTTATAGTATCTGAATTACTGATTTCGTGCCTCATATGAAAGTATAATCTGTGCTAATAAGTTTATGGTAATGTTTAATTTTAAAAATCCCATTTTCTCAATAGGAACCTGAAAAGTGACAACTTCAGACCCTGAAGTGTGAAGTCACTTTCACACCCTGAAAAGTGAAACCTTCAGACTGTGATGCTCTTTTCTGTCTGAAATCTGTTTTGTTTTGTTTTGAAATCTGAAATCTGCCAGGAGCACCCTGGCACACCGGTTTTACTCATCTTCCAGACACATCCCTAACATGTTTTTTGTTTTACACTCATTTTTCCATCATTCTGCTCTCCCGTTCTCTGTAATCCCATCTCTCATTTCTTGGTTTTGCAGAAACCCCGAAGGCTGTCAATCAGGAAAAATTTGTTTTCCTTCCTTGGAGATGGTGGCAGGTCTACAGCCTCATGCCTTTGGCCAGGCTGCATTCCGCAGAGCACCCCTCGCTCGGGGCCGCTCGCCGGGCTGGCCCCGGTGATCCGGCTCTGCTCCTCGCTCCGCTTAGGGAAGGTGGCTGTGGCTGCCTCCCCAGGGACACCACGCTTGGCCACGTCAAATGAGAAACTGATTCATAGGGTAAAATATCGTTTTCTCCACAAACTGAGAAAATGGTATAGAAGTGGCTACTAATCTGAAATGTGTGTATTTGTAGTCCTAGTTCACAGCGTTCACGCATCTCATATAGTATCTGTAGAAAACTTTTTCACAAGCATTAACAACCATACTGGAGAATTTTATCTTTAAATTCTGTGGATATTCACCCAACGAGAGAGCCCTCTCGGGTGGCGGCTAAATCAGCGGGTGGCTCTTAAAAGTCCATAGAAACATCTGCGCGTGTCAGGAAAGCAGCTACTCAGTTCTGGAGCTATTGTAAAGGGAAGATCCTTGCGGGAAAAGGAGGCAATGTAAATA